GCTGGGGGGGCGCAGGGGGTGGTCCCTCAGCGGGGCCTCTATCCGTGACACGCTCGCAGGGCGTGGCAGGCGTGGCACTTCTCGACACCATGGGGGTGCGCAGGGGTGGTCCCTCAGTGCGGCCGCTATCCGTGACACGCTCGCAGGGCGTGGCAGGCGCGGCACTTTCTCGACACCACTGGGGGGGCGCAGAGGGTGGTCCCTCAGCGGGGCCTCTATCCGTGACACGCTCGCAGGGCGTGGCAGGCGCGGCACATTCTCGACATCACATGGGGGTGCGCAGAGGGTGGTCCCTCAGTGCGGCCTCTATCCGTGACACGCTCGCAGAGCGTGGCAGGCGCGGCACTTTCTCGACACCACTGGGGGGGCGCAGAGGGTGGTCCCTCAGCGGGGCCTCTATCCGTGACACGCTCGCAGGGCGTGGCAGGCGCGGCACATTCTCGACACCACATGGGGGTGCGCAGAGGGTGGTCCCTCAGTGCGGCCTCTATCCGTGACACGCTCGCAGATCGTGTCAGGAGTGGCACTTTCTCGACACCACATGGGGGTGCGCAGAGGGTGGTCTCTCAGCGCGGCCTCTATCCGTGACACGCTCGCAGGGCGTGGCAGGCGTGGCACTTTCTCGACGCCACAGGGGGTGCGCAGAGGGTGGTGTCCCTCAGCGCGGCCTCTATCCGTGACACGCTCGCAGATCGTGGCAGGAGTGGCACTTTCTCGACACCACAGGGGGTGCGCAGAGGGTGGTGGTCCCTCAGCGCGGCCTCTATCCGTGACACGCTCGCAGATCGTGGCAGGAGTGGCAGGACACCACAGGGGGTGCGCAGAGGGTGGTCCCTCAGCGCGGCCTCTATCCGTGACACGCTCGCAGATCTTGGCAGGAGTGGCACTTTCTCGACACCACAGGGGGTGCGCAGAGGGTGGTCCCTCAGCGCGGCCTCTATCCGTGACACGCTCGCAGATCGTGTCAGGAGTGGCACTTTCTCGGCACCACAGGAGGTGCGCAGAGGGTGGTCCCTCAGCGCGGCCGCTATGCACGACGGTCGTCCAGGGAATAGCAGGCGTGGCACTTTCTCGACGTCATAGAGGGTGCGCAGGGGGTGGTCCCTCACCGCGGCTGCTATGCACGACGGTCGTCCAGGGCATAGCAGGCGCGGCATTTTCTCGACACCATAGAGGCTGCGCAGGGGGTGGTCCCTCACCGCGGCCGCTACGCACGACGGTCGTCCAGGGCATAGCAGGCGTGGCACTTTCTCGACACCATCGAGGGTGCGCAGGGGGTGGTCCCTCACCGCGGCCGCTGGCTGGCTCGAATCTGTCCTCAACGGAGGGTAGAAGGCTAGGAAGAGGGAGGAGGTTCAAGCAATATGGCGTTGGATTACACATAGGGGAACATTCGCGACGAGGGCTGAGAACGCAGACTTGCGCATATATTATCAACTTAAGCAAACACACAAGATTTAAGTTAAGTATGTGGGGTCCCTCGGTAGCGTAATTTTAGTAGTAGTAGTGGTAGTAGTAGTAGTAGTAGTAGTAGTCGTCGTCGTCGTCGTCGTCGTCGTCGTCGTCGTCGTCGTCGTCGTCGTCGTCGTCGTCGTCGTAGTAGTAGTAGTAGTAGTAGTAGTAGTCGTAGTCGTAGTCGTAGTCGTAGTCGTAGTCGTAGTCGTAGTCGTAGTCGTAGTCGTAGTCGTAGTCGTAGTCGTAGTCGTAGTCGTAGTCGTTCGTAGTAGTCGTAGTCGTAGTCGTAGTCGTAGTAGTAGTAGTAGTAGTAGTAGTAGTAAGTAGTAGTAGTAGTAGTAGTAGTAGTAGTAGTAGTAGTAGTAGTAGTAGTAGTGGTGGTGGTGGTGGTGGTGGTGGTGGTGGTGGTGTAGTAGTGGTAGTGGTAGTGGTAGTGGTAGTGGTAGTGGTAGTAGTAGTAGTAGTAGTAGTAGTAGTAGTAGTAGTAGTAGTAGTAGTAGTAGTAGTAGTAGTAGTAGTAGTAGTGGTAGTAATTGTTGTTGGTGTTGTTGTTGTAGTTGTATTTGTAGTAGTACGGTTGCAGTCATATGGTGGTAGTAATTTTATTGCGTTGCGAGAGCAATAATAGGGCTGAGGCTCAGGCTCGGCTTTGGATGAGGCTTCGGCTGAGGCTAGGTTTAGGCTGCGGTTGAAGCTTATGCTAAGGTGACGTTGGGGCGTAGGCTGAGGCTGAGGCTTGGGCTAGGCTGAGGCTTGGGCTGAGGCTCAGGCTAGCATTAGGCTAGGCTGAGGCTGAGGCGAACGCCAAGGCTTAGGCTGAGTCTCAGACGAAACCCAGGCTAGGCTTAGGCTGAGGTGTAGGCTAGGCTGAGGCTGAGGCTCAGGCCGGCTTAGGCTAGGCTTAGGCTAGCTTGGGGTTTGGGCTCGGCGGGGGCTGGTGCTTAGGCCTAGGCTGAGGCGCAGGCCAGGCTTAGGCAATGCTGAAGCTGAAGTTCGGGCTAGGCTGAGGCCGAGGTTTCGGCCCGGGCCAGGTTTAGGCTAGGCAGACGCAGAGGCTAAGGCCAGGCTGGAGCTGAGGCTTAGGCTTTCGGCTAAGCTGAGGCTAAGAATTGGCTTGGGCTTAAGCTGGGCTGAGGCTTAGGCTAGGCGTAGGCTGAGGTCTGGGCGGAGGACCGCGGAGAGATGGGAAGAGAGAGAGAGAGAGAGAAACAAAAAAGAGAGGAGAGGGGAGGCAACGCCAAGGAAAAACACAGCGGGTATACCGCGCCGATGCCAGCAGCAAGCAAACGACGCGCTCCGCCTCCTACAACCCATAATGTGTTAAAGCGCAGGGGGGGGGATTCGCCCCCTGACCCTCCTCCTCCTCCTCCTCGTCCTTCTCCTCCTCTTCCGCTGCTGCTGCTGCTCCTCCTCCTCCTCCATTCCTCTTCCTTCTAATAACTTCTCCCTGTCGCACCCTCAGGCCAATCTTTAGAGCGGGGTCGGCGTTCCGCTTGAAAACTGTTCCATCATTTATGATTCTGAAACTTAAGCATTGGCAGCAGCTTCGCAGATGGAGGGCGGGTGGTTGTCAAAATGTGGTTATCGCCTCAGCGCCCCGCGCAATCGTTTTAAACATTTGCAAGAGTTTCACGGAGTGAGGGTGGGTGGTTTTCAACATGTGGTTCTCGTCTTAGCTCGGCGCAAGTTTGTTTTCAACATGTGGTGGAGTTTCACGTGTTGAGAGCGGATCTTTTTCAACATGTGGTTCTCGCTTCAGCGCGGGTTTAAAGAAATGCAAGAGTTTCACCGGTTGAGGGCGTTTTGTTTCAAATTGTGGTTCTCCCGTCAGCGTGGCGCACATTCGGTTTAAAACATTGCAAGAGTTTCACGGATCCCCATAATCAGCGTACCAAAAGTGGTGTTTTGGAAGGATTCAGGATCTTTGTGTTGAAGTCCTTGGAATGGCGTTCTGGCACGATTCACGATCGTCAAAACGCAACCGTCGCGTTGATCCGTGGCGTTGGAATCCTGAGAATAATGCTTTGGCATGCTTCAGGGTCTTCAAACGGTTGCTTTCAAACGAGGCAGTTCCCCCATTGGAATTGAACCGCTGTAGGGGCCTACGAAGAAGCAGCTTGGAGGGAGGGTTTATTCCAACATCGTTGATGACTCTTCGGTTTGCAATGCTCCTCCTCCTCCTCGTCGTCCTCCTCCTCAATGCTGCCCTCCCCCCTCCTCGCCCCCCTCCCGCTCCACCGCTTCCTCCTGCTCGTCCCCCCTCGCCTTCCCGCTCTTCCTCATCCTGCTCTTCCGTTTCCTTCTCTCTCCTCCCCCTCCTCTTTTGGAAGGGAGGTGGGAAAAGGGGGGGAGGGGAGAAGGGGAGGGCATGGGAGCGGGATGGGGGCGGTGCCGGCCAGCGAGAAGAGGCAGGCTTGCACTGCCTCGTTTTTTTTTGTTCTTTCTCCAGAGCGGCGGCAGGCAGGCGGCCGCCCGCTCGCAGAGCAGGGCCTGTGCCTCTGCTCCCTGCTCCCGCTGCTGCTGCCCTCCGCTGCGCCATTCTCCTGCAGGGCTGCTCCGCAGGAGTGCAATTTAACGCCAAGGAATGCAAACGATTGCAAACCAACGCAGTGCCATGCAATGCGATGCAGGGCAGTGCAAAGGAATTCAAAGCAGCGCGAATAGATGTTGAGACATGCAAAGCATTGCATTGCAATGCAATGCGATGCAATGCGCTGCAATGCAGCACCATACAATGCGAAGGGCGAACCGCTGACAATCAACATTGTGACCAAGGACGGCGGCGACGGGTGGCCACAGGCGGGTCGGACCGACCACCAGGCCCAGGTCCCAGGTCTTTACAAGAGAAGTAAGAGCCCCTGAGTGCAAGCTATGTTTGGGGAGCGTAGCAGATTCTGCTAACGTTGTTTCATGGTTTTGCTATGCCATTCCATTATATAGTATGCTTCGCGGTTGGTATGGTATGCCACGTTCGTGTGACGACACGTTATGTAATGCGTTGCAGTGCCCAGGAGGTATCCGACATGTTAGGGGCGTGCCTCGTCATGTGTTTGCTGTTAATGTGTCGCACCCCCCGCTCAGACGTCGGATGCTTAGGGTAATGAACAGCTTGCGCTTGATGTGGCCCGAGATCTGAGACGACGAGGACGCGACAAACATCGGACGCCCTCCAGAAGCTCGCTTCGCACTCCCCCAGTGTGGCGCTCCGAGCTTCCAGCAGAAGGGGCGGCCATGGAGGTGCGAAGCGGATTCGATGATCGTCCTTCCTGGTCCGCCAGCAGGGGCCCTCCAGGCTTGCATGGTGCGACTTTTCCAGGCCGCGGCCCGGGAGGCCCCGACCCACCTCCCCCTTCGCAGCTGTTCGCCCCGGACTCGTTCCTGCTGGCCAGGGCCCCAGAAGGGGCCCCGCAGGCCGACATCTATGGAAAACGCAGGAGATTCTTAGAAGCAGCCGCAGGATGTCTTGGAAGGGGGAGGCGGGGGGAAGGCGCTCTTCGCACCCATAGATGACATCTGCCCCCCTTGGGGCTTCTGCTTCCCCGCAGGCGCTGGCGTGCCCCCGCCTGGGCCGCGGGACGCCTGCCGCCACCCGCTCCAGCAGGGACCGGACGCGTGCCCCCTGCCTGGGCCTACAGCAGGAGCCTGCCGCCAACCCCTCCACCAAGGACGCACTCGGAGGTGCATAGACCTCCTACCATGACACGTCGATTAAGGAATTGGCCGTTTTCGGCTCGCGAGTGGGCGTCGCGGCCGTCATTTTGCGGGTCCAGGTCCGTCGGTTTCGGTCCCGGGCCGTTTTCGCTAAGGGGAGGTTTACTAAAGGGAGGTTTGTCCACCGCCGACGCACCACCACCCAAACCACCCCAACCCAACCAAAAGGCTTCCATTTGACCTCCATCTCCAGTGTTTGGGGCCGGTGAGCAGTAGCAAAGCAGTCCCCCCCGAACCCGAAATCCGGGTCTTCGGGTTGGTTGGGGTGGTCTGGTAGGTAGTCAATGACAGGGCGGGGTCGTGGGCTGCCAAGAGGCCTGCGCGTTGCGAAAGCATCACAGCGGGAGGCTTGGGTCAACCTTCGGCACGTGCAGGGGGCCATTACAGGGCCAAAGCGGACAAAATCGTCATGTCGGGGTTCTGGGGCCCCCCCGACCCCTGCATTCGGACGCACCACGGGGTCCGTGCTCGGGCCGACCTCCGCGCGCAAGGGCGCCTGCTCCTTTTTGTCGGGAGCCGGGAGACGCTGCCCTGATTGTCTCAGCGGGCGCCACAGAGGTCCGGGCTCTCTGCCCAGCTGGGCCGCAGTCAGGGGCAACCATAGGGGGGATAAGCGAAGGTGGGGACGCACCGACCCCCAATCGCCCCATTGATCGCCGATAGTGGCCCGATAGGCCCAACCTGCCCAAGGACGTTCAGATGGACTATCCGGGGCCTCTCGCCGATCTATCGGCGATGTGTCGCTGATTTCAGGTCGATGTTTCCCCCTTGAGCCCATCCCCCGTGTGTCTGCCCCTTCAAACAGAGGGGGTAGCTCGGAGCGGCTCCGGCGTGCCCCCAGGTCCACGTTGTGAAAGAAGCGCGGCGTTGGTGGTCTGGGGAGATACGGTCGGACCGAGATATCAGATCGAGGTCGGTCCGGGGAGGGTGCTCGAATGTTCTTTGGATCTTGAAGACTTGTTCTGTGCAGCCAGGGAGAGGGCAACCGCCCTCGAATGCTCTTCAGTGTGGCCGGCGGAGTGTCTCCTGTTCTTGACGGATGTTTTTCTGTCTCAGTTGCCCCTGGCTTCTGTGGCCGCCCGCCCTGTCCCGTTTTCCCGCTCTTGCATGCGGGCCAATTCGCTACAACGGTACCACCGTTTAGTCAGCTCCTTCCGCCAGCGCAGACGACCTCTGCCTGGCCGCCGACGCAGCAAAAAACAGGTTTTTCTGTCCCAGGTCCGGCCGACGGCACGCACGGCAGATGCCCTGCGTGCCGCCGCGGCGGGGGCCCCGGCGCGAGCGTCAGTGGCTGGACGCCGTCGGTGGTCCCGAGCCGGCTTGCGTCGAGCGATCTGGTCAAGGATGGTCGGTCCACGCGGTGACGGTCCCCGCAAGTGCTCAAGGGTGGTCGGTCCACGCGGTGACGGTCTTTCAGTCAAGGCGCTGAGAGAAGGACCGATTCGGGCTCAGGAGGGGCTCGGGCTTGTCCGGGCCGCTGCGCAGATCTACGTCGTGGAGCCTGTTTGTGGCTTCGGCGCGCCGTGGCCAGGAAGGCCGCGTCGTGCCGTGCTGTGCGTGCCTTGCGGTGGCACGACGTCTGTGCTGAAGGCAAACATGTTCAGGCAGGGCATGCTTCGCCCACTGGTGGCAACATGTCTGGCACGTGGGCACATTTGTGACCGCAGCCATGGTCTGGAGGCGCGCATGTGTGAAGGTAGCTTCCTGGGGGGCCCTTCAGTGAGCAGCTCAGCTGCCCTGATGTGCCCGCTCTGATACGCAGCACGTGCCGTGCTGAAAGCGTCCGTGTCGGTACGTTGCGTGTTGGCTCGGCGGAATGGCCCACGTTTTGGCGAACGTGCTGCGTCGTGCGTGCGTTTTCAGTCTACGTGTTGGGCTCCGTATCAATCAGCTACGTGCTGCGTGTTGCGTATCTGGGCAGCCGAGGTGAGGAGACTGCTTGACTTCACCAGCGTCCACGTCGACACGGCAAGAAAGCGCCGTGCCCGGAAATGCGTACCCTGGCAGGGCGCAGAAAAGCGGTAGGGCAGCGGCTGGGAGAGCGCCATTTTTTACGCACCGATCTGAGCCCGGGTCTGGCGAGCACACACGCCGGGTGCCACATGTGAACCCTTCCCCCCTCCCACCCCCCACGATTTCGAAGCGGGGGGTGGGGGTAGAGGTCACATGTGGCCACCTAGCAGCACAACAAACGGCAATGCAGCTTGTGATTACGCGTGTCGTAAGTTTTAGGAGGCCACGTCGCCTCTTTAGGCTACAAATCCTGGGAGCGTCAATTCAGCATGAGCGCTTGTATATCCTTGGGTCGTAACCCTCTTGATCTGCCTAATATAGCCTGCCCAGATGAATTATGCCGAATTTGGTATTCATTTGGGCTTGAGCCGGCTCAGTACGTAGCCACCTGCTCGGGCTCAGTAGTGCAGACCTCCCAGGAGATACCTCCCAACATCTTTGAGGCGGTCTTGGGGTTTCTTGGAGCCTATCGGGGGCCTTTGGGGAGCCTCTTGGGGTCTGACTTTGGCCTCGTAGGGAACCTGCTGGAGCTTCTGCGGGGCCTCTTGGGGGCCTGCTGGTGGTCTTTGGGGTCATTTTGGGGCGGTGGGCTCGAAGTGTCAGGGCGAGTTCCCCCTTCTGGGGACATCCTTGGGCCCTCTTGGGGCCGTCCTGGGGCCCTCTTGGTTCCGTCCTGGGGCTCTCTTGGGCCGTCTTGGGGCGATCTTGGGCGCCTCTTGGGCCATCGCCTCGTCTTCGTCCTCCTTCTCCTCCCCGGGCTCGTGGCGTCACGAGGCAGAGCCGCGACGGCCGGTCTCCATGTTTTGCACCGGGCCCTTCGAGGTCCAGGTCTGGTCGGGCCATCAAGCCACGACCTGGGGCAAAAGACTGGGAGGGTGAGAAGGATGAAGAGGATGAGGAGGAGGAGGAGGAGTAGGAGGAGGAGGAGGAGGAGAAGGAAAAAGGAGGAGGAGGAGGATGAAGAGGATGAGGAGGAGGAAGAGGAGGAGGAGGAAGAGGAGGATGAGGACGATGAGGTGGAGGAGGAGGGAGGAGGGAGGGAGGAGGGGGAGGAGGGGAGGAGGGAGGAGGAGGAGGGAGGAGGGAGGAGAAGGAGGAGACGGAGGGAGGAGGAGACGGAGGAGAAGGAGGAGAAGGAGGAGGAGGAGGGCGGAGGGAGGAGAAGGAGGAGGGAGGCGGGAGGAGGAGGAGGGGGGGAGGGAGGAGGGAGGAGGGAGGCGAGTGGTGGCGCCTCGAGCTGCGGAACCCCGGTATGCGAGGCGGCCGGCCTGCCAAGGCCCACTGCCCGGCACCTTTTGGGGCTCTGGGCCGCTGGGGGGCGACGCTGGACGCCCGCGAGCCAGCGTACGCCCAGACTCGGCAGCCCAGGGTTCCCCTCCTCCAACCTCCTCCTCCTCCTCCTCCTCCTCCTCCTCCTCCTCATCCTCCTCCTCTCCTCCTCTCCCTCCTCCTCCTCCTCTCCCTCCTCCTCCTCCTCCCTCTTCCTCCTCCTTCTCCTCCTCCTCCTCTTCGGGAGCCTCCTCCTCCTCCACCTCCTCCTCCTACTCCTCCTCCTCCTCCTCCTGCCTTCTCCTCCTCCTCCTCCTCCTCCGTGCTCGGCCCGCCAGGGAACGGTGCTCCGGCGCCCAGGCCTACAAGGGGTGGGCGATCGGCGCGCCCCTGGAACGGTGCTCGGCCCGCCATGTGCACGTTCGAGTGACCATCGCTGGAGTGACCTTCGGTGCGGGACCTCTGGGGTCCCCCGGTCGCTGAGCGCAGGCTTGGTCACCCTTGCGCGTAGCTGACAGATCTCCGACGATCCGAGTTGTTCAAGTCGGGTGTTTTTTCCTGTTCTTTCGGCCTCCGGCGGCCGTCACTGGGCCCCAGGATCATCAGAACTGGATGCAGGACGAGACATTTCCCCTGGCGAAGGGGTCGGGACGTCCGGGGCCGCGGATGGAAACAGTCAGGTCGGCGGATGTCAGGGCATATGAGGCTCACAGGGATGCGCCAGCGACAGCTCGTGGGACTCTGGCCGGCGTGGCCCTGGAGGGGGGGCCGCCGTAGCCCGACGTGCGGAGAAAGGATAAGAGGGGGAGGCGGAAAGGGAAGCGGGGGAGGGACAGGAGAATATCGGGGAGGAGGATGAGGATGAGGATGAGGATGAGGATGAGGATGATGATGATGATGATGATGAAGAGGAGGAGGAGGAGGAGGAGGAGGAGGAGGAGGGGCTCATCTCCCTGACCTTTTTGATTTGGTCTGGCCGCCCTCCTCCATTATTCGGGCGAAGGATGCGAGACACTGTCTTTGTTCCCAAACATCCTGTTTGAAGTCCTCGCTTTGACAGCGCCCCGTGGCTCTTCTCCTCGTTCCTCCTCTCTCCTCCCCCTGCGCGCCTCTGCCCTCCGCATGCCCATTTCGGCACACCCCTCACACGGTTCGTGGCCCCATGGGGCGCTCCACCGAAGGCTCAAGTGGCTGCGTTCGCATGGCACCACCGCGCCCATTCCGACACACCCTCACACGTAATATTAGGTTTGTTATGGCCCGCCTCCCCCCGCTCCCTCTTGGGTAGGCCCGACTCCGCCGACGAGGCCTGGCTGGTATTCGATCGGCGGCGCGTCGCTGGGGGCCAGAACGTCGGAGGATCGAGGACCGAGGGCCGAGCTTCCTTGACGTGGTCGGCCCTCGCTGGAGCATCCTGTTAGGGGCCGCGGCTCGGTCCAGAGGCGGCGTTCTTCTCGCTGACGGGCGGGCGCAAGAGCGCGAGTGTGGTTGCGCCCTGCGGCTTGCCCACAGAGGGGACTCTTCAACACGTGTGTGCGTGTGTGGGTCTCGCATTCGCTACCGTAGCAAGGGAAGAGGAGAGGGGGCTCTTCATTCGGAGCGCGCACGAGAGCGCGAGGGTAGCTGCGATCCGCGCCCCGATGATCAAGAGACCCAACCTCCTCGGCGTCGTGCCCTCATCCGTTGACGGCGACGCGGTAGGCTCGTGCCGTATCGACCCGGGGCGGCGACCCAGCGCGGGCGTCCAAGGCTGAACGCCGCCCAGGAGAAGGCCAGCACAGCTGCGTCAGGACCGCGAGCCCGCCGCGGCTCCCCCCGCGAGCTGCGCAGGAGCCCCCGAGAGCTGCAGGGGCGGCGGCTCGGAGGAGGAGCTCTGCATCGCGGTCTGAAGCCCCGAGCACGGCCCGTCGCGGGGCCCCCACGGCGGTTGAGCTGGCGCACTTAGACTCAGGCCGCCGCGCCTCGTGACGGCTCTCTTCCTAGACTTCGATGCTGGTGTACAGTTCGCGGCGTCCGCCTCCGGGGCGCCGTCCGCGTCCTCCGCGCGCACCCCGCTGCGCGCCCCGAGGGGGCGCTGGAGGCCTTCGGAGATCTCGGCTGGCCCAGGGCTTTCAGCAGGCTGCTTGGCGCTCCGAGCGCGCACCCGGACTTCCGGACAGCCAAGGGTGTGTGTGTGTGTGTAAGTGTGTGTGTAAGTGTGCGTGCGTGCGTGCGTGCGTGCGTGCGTGCGTGCGTGCGTGTGTGTGTGTGTGTGTGTGGGTGTGTTTGCGTGTGTTCGTGTGTGCAGAAATGGGGCTTCGCCATCCATGTGGGACGTTACCCTGGGCGGCGTCCAGTGCGCTCTCCCTGTCCCCCCGCCGTCCACGCCCGGATGGCAATGTGCTGCCCCCCTCTGAGCCGGCACGCGCGGGCATTGGCCTGGGTTCTGGCCGCCGTACTTGGGTTGCTTCGCCTCGTCGCCGCGCGCGAGGCCGCGAACGCAAAAAAGTGTGTGTGTGTGTGTGTTTGTGTGTGTGTGCGTGTGTGCGCAGGATTGGGCAGACCGCCGGACCGACACGGCGGATCAGTGTTCTAGGCGCATATCAGAACACACTGTGATGTCTGCACGATGTGTGGATCGCATTGCGTGCGCGTTTCGTGTGTTTCGTGGGGGTTTCTTTAGTACGTGATCGCATGGTTCGTGCCGACGATCGTTGAGGCAGAATGCAGTATTTTTGGACCCGCTCCAACGTCGCTGAGACGTCTCTGAGAGTTGCCGCGCGGTGGCACGAATGTGTAGTCCCGCCTTCTTCCATTGATTTCTGGCCAGGAGGTTGCACGCTCGTGCTGAATGTTGATGGCCGAGTGTCGAGGCCTCCAGGGGGGCCCGATAGAGACTCCCAGACGGCCCAACAGGGTATCAAGACGGCCCAAGACAGCTCAGCCGAGGGTCTTTGTCCTGGGCCGCGACACTGCGTGGGCTCGGTTGCCGGAGCGTGGTCGCATGCTGTGGTTCGCGAGCTCCCTGTTCTTCAGGAACCTTTCGGATAGCCGTGCTGCTGCGCCCTGGCAGGACCGCACTGAGCAGCCCCTGGGCCGCCACCTCACATGACTCCTGCCGGGGAACCTAGGCTGACAAACCGGCGTGAAGGACGACACGTTCTGAGCGGCCCGCTCCGCGGCCGTCCTCGCTTCTCCCCGCATCTGAGGCTCTGATTTGTCGCTTCGCAGGGCGACACGGGCCCTCTATAGCGCCGAGCGACCGCCAACACCGCGACACAAAGAAAATCACTGCACCTCCTTCCCCCCCCTCCACCTTCGGCCCGACAGAGCTCCAAGTTGGCCCAGCACGCTCTCGAGATGGCCCAGCAGGATTCCAGCGCCATTCGCGGCGGCCCCCAAGAGGTCCCCAGGGGAGATCGAGGGAGAAGGAGCGAGAGCCCCAAGAGCCCAAGACGGCCCAAGAAATGCGCCAATATGTGTGTCACAGACAACCCGATGTGCTGTCAGATCCTGTCGAGGCGAGGCGGATCACCGTCGACTCATTCAACTATTTACCGCCTCTGGGCCTCGACGTTGGGGCTACCAGCGCGCTGTAGAGCTCGCTGTGGTGCCCCGCTGAGCTTTAGCTCGCCCGGCGCGAGTCCAGTAGTCGGCCCCACCTAGAGGGCTCCGGCTTCCCTCTTGCCCGGGCACACAGAAGATGTGCCGTTGTGACGGCGGCTGGCGGGAGCGTGACGCCACGGAGTCAGGACCGCCATGACCCAAAATTTCACGGTAAAGCATTTGCGAAGCGTCATGAATGCCTATAGGCCCACCAAAGAATGGTATGGTAACGCATGGTGGTTTGCGCGAGCTATGATTTGAACATTTCTGGCTGAGACAGTTTTGTTTCAAGGCGTCGGCTTTGTTTCAAGAGCATTCTGTATATGACTTGTGGTGGGCCTATCGCAGTGCTAAGGCGCCAGCCCCTGCCCACCACATGCACAGATGTAGTAATTACGCTTGGTTCGGGGGCGTCGGCACCTGCAGTACGACGGGTGACTGAGGCAGCGCCCAAGCCAAAACGGCTGTCTCCGGTGGTTTGATCATTACGGTTTGCCCAAACTCACCATCCTCTTGTGCCGCTCTGCCAGCGGAGCAGAAGCCCACGCCAGGTTTGTGGTAGAGTGGGGAACATGCATTTGTTGTGCAAGTTGTCGTGCCGCATGGTGGCTTTGTCACTTACGTTGGTCCGAAGTGTCGATACCCTAAAGTACGCGGGCTCATTTTTACGCCAGCCGATGGTTGAACATGTCAGCGCGTTGACGTAAGAGCAGGTCCTGGCAAGGATACGTGTGGACTCCGAAGTGCAACATTCCATGTTGTTTTTGCTAGAGCCTAATGCGTCCGCTTGGAAATGTATATCGGTTTCCGCCGTAGAGGCAATGTGCATAGTTCAACACCAGCCAGGCTCTAACTACGGACGGTATGCTGCTTGCGTTGCCCAATGTGGACTGCATCCCATGCTCGCCTAAATCTCGCTTCGCCAGATACCATTTGACACAGTCGGTAGCATCTGTCAAATCAAGAGGTGTAGTCCATCCCGCCGACCCCCGACATTTAGACAGGGCGACTGTGGCCTTGGATTTGCGGTTTAGAGCATAGACGGGCAAATAATAGCGATTCGATGTTTAAGAGGGGCACGGACTCAATGGGGAGGAGGAGAAAGGGCAGGATGTTAGGAAGTGTATGTGAACATGTCGCCGATGCTGAGCCATCTGTCGGGACTTATTGTGTGGTCATTGTTTTCTTGTACGTTGTTGCACGTTGAGTCTTGCTTGACGGGCCCAAGCAGCATGGGGAGGCTGCGCAGGCGATCAGGAAGATGGGGATCTGTGGAGGAGGAGCAGCAGCAGCAGCAGCAGCAGGAGGAGGAGGAGGAGGAGGGGAGGAGGAGGAGGAGGAGGAGGAGGAGGAGGAGCAGCAGCAGCAGCAGGAGGAGGAGGAGGAGGACCACCATAGTTAGAGAGATAGAAATAAAAGGTGAGGAGCGGTGCGAGGATGAGCCTTGAATGGCCGCTCCAGCATTGTCAACGGCAGGAGAGAGCCCACGGAGTGGGCACTACGGTGCCCCCCCCCCCAGTATGTATGCAGGCCTCCCAATCAGTGGGTGGTGGGGGTTTGGCCTGGACATGCTGGACACGCGTGTGACCGCACACTTGGGCCTGTCTTGTGTGGCCCCTCCATCCTGTAGGAGAAGCTTCGGGAGCTCTCTTGGGGCTGTCTCTGGACCTCCTGCAACCATGCCACCAGCACCCAGCCCTCGTCTTCATCCGAGCCCCTCGTAAGGTGCCCCCACGATGTCCGATGAGGCCCCCCTCCGCTTTCAGAGCGCCCCATCGCCAGCTTCACATGCGCTCCCCGACGGAGTGAAGAGCTGGGGACACGGGGCTCCTCTTCTCATGCTGCGTTGCTGCGGGCACTCAGGCTGGTCAACAACGCTGCCCTTCCCACCCCAAGCGCCTGGGGGAGGGGGGGGGCATATGTCCTCCCCCCTCCGACAAAGAAGAGTTCCAAGCAGTCACCGTGTCACGTAGCAGCATGGTTGCCAGCGGGCGGAATGCCGGAAAGGGGTCACGCAAATATGCAACGCCCCCCAGCCTGAGCCGCACGATTCTCCTCAGTGGCTCCCATGCTGAGTGCTGTGTTGTGTTCCTCCTCCTCCTCCTTCTCCTCCTCCTCCTTCTCCTACCAATTCCGTAAACATCATCGACCGCTTCTTCTGCTCGGCCACGGGCTGGATGATGTGCCAGCTTATGGCAGATGTCGCCACTGTCGACAGTCCCGAGCTGCTCAGCGCCAAGGGCGTCTCCGACCATGCCGCTCTCTCTGTCTCCCTTCGGCTTCGCGGGTCCAGGCTGGCTGCAGAAAGGCCGATCCCAAAACACATCTTCACTTCCGTGCAGTTCCAGAAAAGGCTCCAGGGCATGCTCGCGGATGGGGAGGACGACCTGCTGCGATGGAACCCTCCTATTGCCACTGAGCATTACAAATTCATGATGAAAGAGGCTGCTCGGGAGGCCCGCAACATCCTCTTCCTCACCGCCCCTGACCTTCCTGGTACGTTGCAGCTGGTTGCACGCGGGATTGCCCGCGCGGTCTGGCGGCAGGACGTCGGTCTCGCCTCAAAGCTTATCGAGACCTCCCAGCACGCCGCCGACGCGCTGATCATCGAGGGCGCCGAGGTCTCGCTGCGCCATGCCCCGACCTTCGAGCAGTGGGCCGACGGAGTTCATCGGCTTGTCTGTGAAAAAGAAATCACTGCTGCTGCCTCTGCTCGGGCTCCCGAGGGGTCACCATCGGCTTGGAGGCCCTGCTCGGCCACGCTTCTGAGAGCTCTAGAGAGGAAGGCCTCCATTTGGGCTCCCTTCTCCAAGCGGTTGGTCCTGTCGGCGATCATCACTCCTGAAGGCCCTGTCACGGACGCATACGAGCGCACGGCGGCCCTCGAGGCTTACTGGTAACCTGTATTCTCCAGGAAAATACCTTAGCCCGTCCTGATTCAGAAGTACCTCGATAGGTTCCTCACCAAGGCCTCCGACATCGTGGCTCAGAGCCCGTTGACCCATACGTTCAGGAGGACCCTCATGCGCGCGCGCGACATTCCGCCCCTGGAGTGGATGGCCTACCTTATGCTGCTTGGCTTGCATGCGACTTTGGGGTCCAGCATCTGGCCAGGATTTTCGGCTGGCTCTGTCAGGGGCAATCGCTGTTCGCCTCCGCCAGCGTCACCCTCCAGGCCTTCCTCCCGAAGGGCTCCGACCCAGATGACCAGCCGTCGGGGACTTGCTCTCGCGCTCCTGACAAAGTCCGAGTCCTGGGATTAAGGAGTCCGGACGTCAAAATCTTGAGCTCGGTCATGAATCGG